CTTTTAAATATCAAGGAAAAGAAAAATCTCCTGGTTTGGTCGAACCAACTTCTCAGAAACCCCAAAGTATTTGGTTTACAACGACGCAAAACAAAGAAAAGCCACAAATCCTCACATTTGTTTGGCTTTTTCGCTCATTAAGTGCCTAAAACAATTAATTGACTGTCATGATTGTTAATTTTCTCCACATGGTCGTTGTGTTGTGAGGCACAGATGTGTAGTTTCCTGTGACTCACTCCTAGCTGGTCTTGACCAGCTTTTTAAACCAACTAAATGCTGAAAAGTTGTGTTTTTTTGTTGTTGTTAGTCGATTCATTGATGAACATTAAAATAAGTACTAATAACTGTTTTAATAATATAGAGGATAATTTTGGTGATATTTTAAGCAAAAATATCAAAGAAATCTCTGGTTTATGACTGCCTTTGGTCTTTTGGTTTGACAAAGCAAGTTGTTTAGTCCAAAAAAAGAAACCAGAGAAAATTCCCATAAGATTAAATATAATATTACACGTCTTAGTTGCAGCTCTAGATTATTTTTTGTATGTTCCACAAAATATTTGGATCTTCATAGTTTTTTAGTTTTTGTTCATTGATGAATGTATTGTTTGTTTTACCAGTTACTCTAAGAGATGAACTGCAATAATGTGTATGTAATTCAAAATTAGATAATCAGGGCGTTAGTGTTTGTGAAGGGCTCGGCTTTGTAAGGAATAGTCTCCGAGCTCATGAGCGACAGTTTTAGGGCAGCAAGCGCTTCAGTCTGATCTCTGCTGGTGCTCTGCTCCAGTCCTAGATGACTGTGTGTTGTAATGTGCTGCCTCAGGGTGTGGTTGCTTGGGAAGGCTCTGGGCTGTGTTTCACACAACTCCATCACCGTCACCATCACACACACACAAACATGAGATAATATGCTTATATCATCCGAGCCACGTACAAAACCGTATTATGCTTTTTCCCTTTTTTTATGTGCGAAGGAAAGGCTGCAGTTTATTATAGTGATGAAACTCTGGGTCCACTGCCAAGGGTGTAAATCACTGCACACATGTGCTGATGGGAAAATATGGAAGCCTGTCCCTCTTAGCAGGGCGAGGAGCTAAATCCTGCCATTTTACAGAGCGCAGATGTATAAATGAAGCTACGCTTGTGTGTTACAGAAGCTAATACTGTTGTTAAAAATAATTTACAGAGGGATCCAGCGTTTGTCACTTTTTCCCCGTACAGAAGTTAAATACAGGCGGCTGCAGCTAATCATTCTTTCTGCTATTTATTATTTGATCTGTCATTAATTATATAAAACATCACAAACAGAGAGAACTATTCATCACGTGTTCCCAGAACATCTTCAGATTGCTTATTTTATATTAAAAAACAGCTCCACTCATTTAAAAAAAAAAGTCATTCCACTTCAACTGCTAGAGAAATTGCAGCAACTGTTTTTCATCTGAGAAGCTGAGACCAGCAAATGTTTAGTATTTGTGCTTGATAAATGACTCAGATTATGAATTGAACATCAAAATTGTTGAATAAGATCAGTTGATTTACTTCGGGAACTTTGACGGTTTACAGCAAAGTAAGTTGTTGCAGGATTTGAGCAGCAACAAGAAATCTACTGGGGACGAGAAATCACACTTTAAAAACATGATGTAATTCGAGAACATTAGATTAGAAGCAACGGTGCTGAAGTTGAAGGAGGAGGGCAAGATGGTGAAAGGAGGAAACAGCACAGTCATGGCATAATCAGCAGAGTAATAGTCAGAAGGTTTTGCTGTACTTCTCTGTGCACATAAACTGGCGTTATTAGTGTTGTAGCAATTGTTTAAATTACTTATGTTCTGAATTAGTTCAAATATTTTTATCAGAAACTGAGGTGATGTCTTCGACAAGCTTGTTTTGGCTAAAAAACTGAATTTAAAACCCAAAGAAGGTCAATCTAGTACCTATCAGGCAAAGATAATAGCAACACTGAGAAGTCTGAATCAGGATTAATTGCAGTTAGAACAAAAAAATACTCAAATCTATTCATTTCTAATCAAATAGTGGTGAAATAATTACCTGTCTATTGACTAGTTGTTTGAATAACGGTTTTAGCTCCACTGACTTATTGTTTCAGTATATCTTCATGATGGCCGATTGATTAACCACCTGCTCTTGCCCATAAATCACACAACCAACTGCACCTTTGTATGTTTGCCAACACACATCTCCGTCTATTGCCGTAGCGCTCCACCCTGTGGCTGTACGACAACCAGCCGTACACTTAGTCAGCTATCATCGCTAGGTAGTCTCCTCCCCTCCTCTCTGGTCTCTCTCCCTATAGTCAGCCCATTGCCATGACAACGGTCTGCTAGAGTCGGTCCACGGTGCAGCGGCAGCAGCACATTTCTTTCTGTCCGACTGTGTGGTGTCATGGCAACGCCCAGATCGGAGCACATCACAAGATGTAATGTTGAAAGGCTTCCTCAGATGCCCTGTTGCTTTGTGGTTTCACTTTGGAATGTGTGCATCGGATTCAGTAAGAAGGATTATTTTCATTTTCTCATGTGGACTAAAAATATCCTGACATGATTAATAATCCACAGTATATTAGTGATTGCATCTGGTCTGTTGGTTAAATGGATTACGCTGAGAAAACAGCATCCACAGTTAGTGTTGTTGCATAACAAAATCTAGATGAACGTGGTTAAGATGTTAATCCGCGATCAGTCCTTAAAAGCAGCTTCAGCTCCGCTTCCAGCAGCAAACTGTCAGTCTCTCAGATGATATCACCACGACTGCACTGGGTCATTTTATAGGACGCCATGTGGAATATGGGCTTCCATGAAAGTTCCATAAATAGCTTATCTGGAATTTTTTTTAAATTAATTTTGCTAGGATGCTATTATGTGGGCTCTGTGACTTCCACTATTGTATTCAGTTCAGTTGATCAGTTGACCCTCTGAACCCGACTTCCTATGTGTTTTCTTTTCTTTTCTTTTTTGAAGCTCTTGTCTCCTTTATTCTCACTGTGGACTCATTTTTCACTGGAATATAAAGTCCTACACCTCTGTAAAAATAGCGATCATGATTAGAAGTAGAAAGAACTCAAATTATCTCCTATTGTTGCACATAGCTAAGTCAATCATAGTTTGTCAGTTGCACCGAGGAGTACAACATTTTTTTGTTTTTTACAGAATCTGGTTTAGATTTTGTTAATTTTTTCCTGCCCAAATGGCTCATCACAAATAATTAGTTCAATGACTGAAGGCAAGTTAAAAATTGCATCATTATTTCTGTTTTACAGTTTCTGGCTCTAATAAAATGCTGTCATTTTGTTGTTTTTTTTACATGATAATGTGGCTTCAAACTCACCAGTAAGTTTTAGGGTTTAGACGGTTAAACTAGGCCATAAATGATATGTTTGCGATGCTTAAATCCTAAAAGAGTCCATCCTAGTCCACTCAGTCATGATTATTTTTTATTGTTCTCAAAACAAAAAATCTCTGTTCACATGAAAAAAAATGCAAAAAACACAACTGAAGTGGTGTCAAAGGATTCTAAATCAACAGGCACCAATATAACTTGAACCCTAAAGCCATGGTGGACAGTCCAAGGCCCCAAAAAACATTATGACAGGGTTGTGTTGGCTACCAACAATGGTGTATCAAAGAAGAAGGGAATCATGTTTGGACTAATCCTGACCCCTCTTTTCTTTGATATAATGGAATATTTACTGTACCTTTACGTGTAAACATGTAAAAAGTCTTGTTAGCACCAGTATTATTTGGTCATGTCTGTCCTGCCATGGCAAAAGGGATAACGGCACACACTCTGACCTACCTGCATGTCAACACTGCAGACAGAGTTTCTAAATGTTTTCACCGTGGAAGGAGTTTCCAAAAGTGACATTTTCAATTACCTAAAACTGCATTTGCATGTGGATTAAAAGCCAAAATGCATAGATGAAGCTTACATTTTCAGTATCCTGTATACTTGCAGACAGAGCCTTTATATAGCAACAGGCTGGATGTAACTTTTTACAAACTGTCTCCAGATGGAACGTACACACGTATAAGCTAAAGGCTTGTTTGACCTCGTTTGGTCCAGATATAGATTTTTACCTCGTCTGTTTGAGATAGAAGGATGACTGAGCTTCAGAGTACAAACATTTATAGTACAGTCGTGACTTGACATTCTGACCCTTAGCAATGTGAAAATCTTGCAATTCAACAAGTTTTTCGGAAAAACAAACAGAACCCATAAAAAATAGCCTTAACATACCCACAGCCTTGGCTTCCGACTCTGACATGACATTTTATGTCACAAATAAGGACAATGGCGTATTATCTGACTGAACAATCCGACAGATTTACTTACCTTTGATGTCAACTGACGGGCTTGTGCACAAGCGCACCGGTCAGTTAGGCGTGAAAACCAACAATGCGTAGTGTTCTGACAATACACTAGTTATTATAACAACTATAAATAATAAATATTAACAGCAAAATACCCTTCCAGCATCAAGCCCTCCTTGTATCTTGACCTCCGTCTTGACAATCCGACAGCCTTGCTATCCATCATAAAAGAACGTATTACATTCAGTGTCAGATTATCAAGTCACGACTGTATTTGACATTTATTTAAAAAAATGTGAAAAAAAAAAAAAGCCTTTAGAAATACATGTTGTAGACAGACCTACAGGGTGGTCCTTAGCTAAACTCTGTGTGATGTGTTTGCATGGGACAAGTGACAAACATGCCCGTCTCTTCCCAGCCATGAGTGAATGAAGGAAACATTGTTCGTCTCCTCTTGGTGGAAATAGAAGGACATAATCTAACTAGAGAAATAGAGAAGCTTTGTCCAGTTCTAAATATAGTGACAGAAATGTCTTGGAAGAGGAGATTTTCCTTCAGTGGATGTTAACTTGCCTGTTAAACTGAGTTTATAACAAAAGACAACTGCATTGAATTCAAATATTTCTCTCATCGTCTCCCTTTTTATCCCTCCCATCTTTTTCTCTTCAGAGCGACAGGCTTCTGATCAAAGGCGGGAGGATTGTGAACGACGACCAGTCCTTCCATGCCGACATCTACATGGAGGATGGCGTCATTAAGTAAGTCCTCCATCGCCCTCATTTGTGCTTATCTCTCTCACCTCTTTCCATTTGCTTTCATCCCTCCACTTACAGCTCAGGCTCATCATCTGTTTTTTGTCGAGGTTATTCAAAATCTCACTTGTTCCTTTGGCTTCACATTTAAGTGCTTCTTTTATCTGAGGATTGCTGCTGCAGGAATTAAAATACACTTGAGAAAAAAGTTCAGTAAGGTCATCCCATCAAACGAGACAAATTTTGTTTTCTCATTGTCAGACTGTAGTCACAGACTCCCATGAAATTTTGGGACATCTGCAAGGTCAACAGAGATAGTCTTGCACTATACAAACAGAATAAAGTTCTTCACTGTAGATGTAGCGATCGTGTTTCTGAAATGCCTAAAAGAGGTTTTTAGTTAAATGAAGAATTTGTAGAATTGGACATGACACGTTTTTGGCCTGTCCGACAGAACTCATTTACCATTTATTAAAAATGACATGGGTTTGTGTTCGGCTGTGTCTCTGCCCAAGTGATGCTGTGGAAAAATGTGAGCGAGCATGACACAAACGCTCCCTGAGATCACCCTCACAGTATGAACAACATCCCCACTTCTGTCGCCACCCCAGCAGACAAAAACTGGGGTAGTTTGGGTTGAGTTCCCCCCCCTCTGCATGTCCCCCGAATCAGTCTGTCCTTCATCTCACCCTCTTTCCCCCCTGTCCTGTTCCCACTTGATTTTCCAATTATAGGCTCTTTGTCCCCCGTCAGCCCTCAGTGAGGCGGCTCAGAGAGAGAGAGAGGCGCCCTCAGAAAGTCTGGGGTTGCATAATAAACACCCAGATGCCTGCAGCACCATTGGGGCTGCTGGCAAACTCACAGAGACACTGGCTTCTGTCTGGCTTGTCTCCTCTATAAAGTCTGAACAACAGGATTTTTTTTGTTTTTTAACAGGGTTGAAATGTTAATGTGTTGACATGGTGATGGTGACAATGTGTTGCTTCAAGCTTGGCTGACTTTACCAGTTAGAAACTTTTTTTCAGAACTTTAGATTCAATTGTGATAGAGGTTTTTTTTGTGTTTTTTTTTTGTCCAGTGCCAGGCTGGACTAATACTAAACATCACTATAGCTTGAATTAATAGTTTGCTCTCTGCATTAAGACATGAATTGCTTTAAACATCTTTCAAATGTGCTTGTATACTTTTTCTTTCTTTAATTATGAATTGGTGAGAACTCTAGTTGACTTCTGCAGCTTGTTATTCAGTCCTGTTTCTATCCTAATTTTTTTTTTTTTTTTAAATAATTTGAATTTGATTTATTTGATTATTACATAGCAAAAGCAGTAATTATTTACTGCTGTTTCAACATACAGCTGCCCTCAAATGTATTCATACCCTCCCATTAAAGAAGGAAAAAAAACAGCTGTCACTGAAATAAGTTGAAATTGACAAAAGTAATAATAAATAAAAATTGAATGAAAATCATGACATTGCTTTTGAATTGTAGTTCAACAGAAAACAAACAACAACAACAAAAATCAAGCAAACAAACATGATGGGACCTAGAAACTTTGTTGAACAACCCTTTGAGGCAATCACTGCAATCAAGTGTTTTCTGTAACTCTCAGTCATATTTCTGCACCTGTTGACAGGTATTTTGGCGCACTGCTCATCAGCAAAGTGTCCAAATGTGTCCAGGACAGATTTTTTATTTTTTTTAAATTATTCTTTCCAATCACAAATCAAAAGCAATGTCTTATTTCACCAAATTATGATTTAGCAAATTTTTATTTATTATTACTTTTTTCAGTTTTTAGTTATTTGAGTCAATTTTGCCTTTTCTTTAATGGAAGGGTATGAATACATTTGAGGACGACTGTCATTTGTGGATGTAACCTAGTCTTAAGATACATTTATCACAACATCATCTCCCCCCCAACAGGCAGATTGGCGACAACCTGATCGTGCCGGGTGGCATAAAGACCATCGAGGCCAACGGGAAGATGGTGATCCCCGGCGGCATCGACATCCACACCCACTTCCAGATGCCGTACCGTGGAACCACAACCGTGGATGACTTTGCACAGGGATCAAAAGCTGCCCTCGCTGGCGGCACGACCATGATCGGTAAGAGCTGCAGGAAAGGTCGTCTGCACAGTGATGTTGGGTTTAGGGGAAGGTTTTTTTTTTTTTAGAAAGAGACTAAAGCATTAAAAGAAGGGTGTAATGTGACAAGGGAGGGCTGAGACCCAAACAGAGGGAAAGAGAAAGGGAGGGATGGGAAGCAGTTTTGGTCTGTTATGGGCAACTATCCAAAAGAAGGCCATACAAAAGGCTGAGTGTAGGGGGCAGGACTCGGAGGGGGTAAAGAGTGAAACACTGCTCCCACGGAAATAGGGCACCAGTGTGTGTCTGCATCCTCGTTTGTGTAGCTTTAAATGTTTGTGTTGGAGACGCTATCACACCCAACAGCTGGTAGATACCGCAGTTTCATTAATACTTCTTTTGAGCTGGTTGCTGCTCTGCTGCTTGTTCACCAGGGTGGCTCTGTGCTCAGACAGAGACAGTCACTAACAGGCATGCTACTGTAGTAAGCTCTATTCATGGGCTCCATTCATTGAGGGATTATATTCCAGGGGGTGATGTGTGAGAAAGTGGAAATGTGTCCTGTGTGTCTGCTTGTGTCCTGTACTCTGTGTACGTATGTATCTTGATGTTGAGTTTGAGTGATGGTGAGCAAAAAAAAGTGGTTGCGACGGTTGACAGGAAACAACAGAGCTGTGTATTTTTCAATGCTGTCGATGTTTTTGTTTCGTTTTTTTGTGTCACTACTGCCTGTAGCTCTTATCCTATTAGCATAAGCAGATTGGGTTGTCTTTAACGAGATAAAGACGCTCGTCAGGTGGCAAGACAGCAGGAGGCCTTATTTTATTACAGCTGAGTAAGATGAAGTGGGATAGTTTGCGCACACTGATGCTGTTGTGTTCGGCGAGGATTTGCTGTGTCCATGAATAATTTCAGTGAAAGCAGACACAAAAGGCTGTAAATACTCAGTTGGCAGGCGTGCACAAAGGCCAACATGTACTCGCTGTCTTTGAATGTACACAGAAAATCCCGCACATGTACACATTATATTTGCAATTATTGTATATGCGCTTGAGCTAACGCATTCTACACGCTTCTACGTATGCAAAAATGCTTTTCTGAGTTGGGTTGGTAGCTTTCTTCTGTAGATTACAAGGTTGTCACCAAAGCACCCAACTTAAAATGTTGATCACAGTTATATAACCAAATACAAAAGTCTGAAAATATTTTACAGTGGATTTGCCCCCCAATTTTCGTCAAGGGTACCTCCACTCACAGGAGGATGTACAAAATGTAATGTGACATCTGGCTGAGCACTGCAGAAACTCAGACAGACAGCTGATTATGCAAGATCAACAAAACAGCAAGAAAGTTGTAACACCAGCAGACAAACCCTGACTTTCACCTCCCTATGTGGCTCTTCGCTTCATTTCACCTGCTACCTCTCATCTTTCTACCTTCCTCCCTCTTCCTCTCCTAAAAACCTTTCCCTCCCTCTCCTCCTGTCATGCTCCCATCACCCTTTCATCCCCCTGTCCTCTCTATTCTTACCTTCCTTCTCCAGTGGATCATGTGATCCCCGAACCTGGTACCAGCCTGATGGAGGCCTACGACCAGTGGAGGCAGTGGGCTGACGAGAAAGCCTGCTGCGACTACTCTCTCCACGTGGACGTCACCCACTGGAACGACAGTGTAAAGCAGGAGGTGGATAATCTCATCAAGGAGAAAGGTAGGCTGTGATGGCACAAGATATCATTTACTTAAGAGTTGATTAATAAAATACGTCTGGAAAGAAAGCTCAAAATACAATCACAGCACATTTTTGAATATAGTTGTTGCTCTGGTGCTGTAGATGTCGGAGAGACACAAATACAACTTTGTTTTTTTGGCAGGCGAAAAATCAAACCTTTCTTCTATTAAAAAATCAAATAATGTTACAAGATTGGTCTCACACTGGGTGACCATAACTTTCTTATTAGTTCATTCGTATGTCCGTCTTTGATCTCTGAGGTTTGGGTGGGGTTCACTACAATTTCTCACGTTTTCTTCTTTATGTTCTATTCATTTCTTGCAGGTGTGAACTCGTTCCACGTCTACATGGCTTACAAGGACTACTACCAGATGAGCAACAGTGAGGTAACAATAACATTAATGAAGCACACCTTTTTTCAAGTCCATATTGAATCAATCCACTTAAATGTTATTTGTTGTCTGTAATTTATCTTTCTTTTACATACTTGGCATAAAGAAATAGGGTTTAAAATCAACAGATCTCTCTTTGTGAAAATATTGCAAGGCCTCAGCAGTCTGATGTCAAGTTATCTTCCAAAGTTAGAGAAAAATTCCTTCGCCTGTGCCTCAGCAAGGAGGCTGTGTCTGTGGAGATACAGACAGAATAGATACGAGTTTTTGTACTACAAAGACTAACTTTGGAAGTTTTCCAGTTGATTTTGCTATTTCAAACTACTGAAGGCCTAAAATTAGCCGTGCACCCGACTTGTCACACTGGAATCACATTAGAAAGAGATTCTTTTCATGACCAGTTTAAACGGGAGGAATGACAAAGGCAACTGAAACCTGCATATGCATATGGATGTTTTTTAAGACAGACTTAAAAATGGCTTGTGGCTTGTGTGGCTGCACTACAAATCCAGAACATAGCTTAGTATTATCTTGGTTTCACTCAGTGTGTAATTTAAAAATCGTTATTTTATTTAAGCAGTCAAATAGGAGCAATTGCTACTGATATAAATCTGTCATTGCCGACTTGCTGAGACACTAGATAGTCAAGCAACATAAAAAAAAATGCAATGGCTTGCCTCTAAGCATAAAACTGTATCTAAAAAAGTGAGTTAATGATTGTTAGTTTAGCTAGTTCACTGTAAAACACAAGATTTCTAACTTATGGTAAAGTATTAGTAAAATGTACATCTTTTTTTCGTCCTGGAAATACCCTGTGATTATGTACATGGTAGCCCATGATGTATGCGATGAGTTCATGAGTCCTTGTTAAAAAAAACAGTGCAAGTCCAGACAGTGTGAGGCAGAACTCCTAATGTTTCTCATGCAGCCGGAGCTAATTTGGTTGGTCAGAGGAGCACATGAGGCAACTGAAATAGTCCAGCTTGAAAAACTGATGTCATGCAGCTCACTAAGGAGCTGTGGCGCAGCAACATAAAAAACAACAACTGCAGCAGCTCATCCCACATGAGTTTCACCGTTTTTCTGGAGACCACACACAATAATTGCAGTGTGTCGTGGTAGACATCATGAAAATTGCGGGCTTCTTTTAAATTGTGGCTTATGGGTGACCCCTGAGTTAAAAAGGAGTGTCTTGCTCTTGTGTAAACAGCCAGGCAGGATTTTAAAATATAAAAGTAGCGCCACTGTAATTTTGCTCTTCCTGTCTTTTTCACTTATCCAGCTCTATGAGGTCTTCACCTTCTTGGCAGAGAGGGGAGGCATCGCTCAGGTCCATGCTGAAAACGGCGAGATCATCGCTGAGGTAACAGGAAAAAAAAGAATAAACTATCAGGCGTTCTCTGCTGCCTCATTTTCGTTACTACACTCTCTTTAATTACTTGCCCCATGTCCAACTCTGGGATCTGTTTTTGTTCAGTGTGATTTATCTCAACTTAGTTCACTTCAGTTCACTTTTCTAAGCAAATCTTATCACAGTGCATCTCCCATACCTAGAGACTAAACATGCTGTCGCTGACATGAGGGAGAATGTGTTTCCTGTAGGACAGTAATGTGTGGGTGTAGTTTATACAGTATCCTGGACAAATGAAAGTGAATCAACTGTAAAAGTTGGTGGATTGAGAGGGGTAGGTATTAGTCAGAGCCCCAGACCATGTCTGGATTCCATCACTGTGTGTTCACTTTGGATCTGATTCATCGCAAATCCCAACTCTTATCCAGTCTGAAACTAGGACTTTGAAGGAGTCTGATTTCCATCAGCTGTAAGATCCAAAAAATGTTTGACCCCCAGATTATGTCATGTCCTTTACTTTAGACCTCCTTAGATAGACACCTTGTTTGGACCTAAGAGATGAATGATTAATGTTGTCGGTGCTGTGACAGAGCACATGTTGTAATCAAGTGACAGCCACCATGCATAACTGCTGAAAACACTGCCAAAGTGCATGAATCTGCAGTTCCTCTTGTAGCTACTAGATGCATGTTTCAATAAACTTTGACTTTAACTTCAGTTTCTCCCTAGAACTACAAAATTCTGTCAAATTTTTCCTGTCATGAGTTTCAAGTCATTAGTGAATGTGTGTGTCTTAGTAGGATTTTAAAAGACATTATTCCATTGAGAATATATTAAAGACAAATTTCTGTATTTTCCAACCTCTTATTTCCGTAGTTGTTGCCATTCTGCCTAAGGTTTCAATTACCACCTCCATTGTAGAGTCAGCAAAGACGGAAGATTTCTGAAGCTTTCCAAATTAACGCTTTGTTTCTGAGTGTGACCCACAGACTTTCTTATACAGTCTACGGTGCGACCCCGTGGATTAGCTGTGGTGGCTACCTGCATTGGCATCCTCTTTTGGCCAGGATTCCCTCAAAGACTTTTATTGCTCTTTAAGGGTTGTAACTGCTGTTTCTTAGCATGTGGAGAGCTCAGTGCTTCATCCAGCTGGCTTCTCCTAGTTCAATTTGAGAAGGGAGAAACTGTCTCCAAGATGGCAGTGTTGATCAGAGCCGCAAATTGGCTTTTTGTCGTAACACAGCTGGGATCACTCTCATCTGCAGACACATACATTTTCCAGGTTTGTCATCCAACTCCTTGCAACAAAGTTTTTTCACCTCAGACAGCTTTGGAGAGCAGTGACCACAGGAATACCACCAGTTTCTTGAGTTACAGTATGAGTTGTCTCGCGGGGTGGTCCTCTGACTCCATTCTTCATCTTACATTTGATTTATATACGCACTCTGATTTGTTATCTTTTAGTGTGAGATGACATGCATTCATCTTTACAGTAGGCTACTGGATAAGTGGCCATTGCATGTGTAGGTAGGAAACAGAAATGGAAGCGAACCTTGCTTCTTGTTTGTGACGACAGAATTAGAAATGTTAAATTATTTACCAGGTTTGTTTGGAAAGTTTTAAAGCTAAAAAGGAGTTTTGTAAAGTTTCTTCCTTTTTTGTATCTCTGTGATGGAGGTTGCAAGTGCAGTTAGCCTGACCCATACCCAGGTTTAAAAATCCTTTAGTTTTCTTTTTCCACTTAAACAGAAATCCTTTTGAGGAAAGCAAGTCAATATAAAGCATCCTAGTTCATGTCTCTCCATGTAGGGTTAACTTTTGCATTTACTTCAACACAAAATGCAAGCTGAATGTTATGGAGGCAGGTCTGCATGTATACAAAACCCCTCAATAAACAAAGGATTCCCACACATGTCAGTGTGCGGTCTGGCCATGATGATAAAACTGCTGCTTATATACTTCACTCAGGCAGAAAGAAACAACATTTGAAGTGTGATCTGAACTTTTAAACAAGCTCGAGTATTCTATGTCGATGAACTGAGCAGCTGACGGCCTACTTTTTGCATTAACAGGAGCAGGCCCGGATGCTGCAGATGGGCATCACTGGACCTGAGGGGCATGTGCTCAGTAGGCCAGAAGAGGTACGACACCCAACCTTCACACTAATCGCATTGAATATTATCTGTGTTAGTTTGTGTAATTTGCTGTTAATTTGCAACCGTTTGGCCCTGGACTCTCTCGAAAATGAGATTTAAATCTCCAGACATCGTCCTGACGCTCCCATCATCTACCATGACGATGTTTTAACATGCACACACTTTTCTCATTACACACATGTGGTTTCAGACACATTAGAGGCACTGGGTGAAAACTCTCTGGTTCCCCCAATTGTTGCTGCTAATGTTTCTTCAACAAACAGCAAAATCAAAGCCACTCTTTCAACTCGGCAGCTCGTCTGCCTGTAGCTTGACAGGGATTTTCCATTCTGTGGTGCAGCGGACTGATGTTCTCCCACCGGTATCATAATGTCATGCAGTTAAGCGGAGTCTTCTGAATCCAAAACTTGGGAACATACTGTAATTGAGCAGAGACCAAGTTGAATTAGTGTTTTTATCAGGGTCTGGCGTCTTGTTTGGTTCTAATTTATTGGTTATTGGCCCCGGGTTGAGCTTGTGGATGAGAACATAACAAGTGCAAAGTACAAAACATATGTAGGAGACAGTTGTCACATCTGGAGACGTGTTTTGTAACAACGGCTTTTTTACCATTTTGTATTGAACATCATTTCTACTTCTTGATAGCTGACTTTGAAATGTAAAAATCACAATAAAATACCAGGTGCTCTCCATCGTTTTGCCTTTAACTACCCCAATCCAATGTAACTGAACAAATCCCTAACGTCTGCTGTTTAAAATGTTTAAATTATACGCTTTTACTTGTCATTTGGGTTAAAAAATATACTATTTAAATGACATGGCTCCTAAAATACAAACAGTAATTTGCTGCGGTTAAGATATTTGAAGTTTATTTGACAAAGTCCTAATGGGAATAACATTTCCAAGTCAACCACAATGTCCTGTTCCTTCTGTAGTTGGAGGCGGAGGCGGTGTTTCGTGCCATCACCATCGCCAGCCAAACCAACTGTCCTCTGTACGTGACCAGGGTCATGAGCAAGAGTGCTGCTGACATCATCTCACAGGCCCGGAAAAAAGGTAAAGAGCAGCGTTTTGGACTTTATTAAATTAGTTGTTTTAAAATAAGAAAGATTTAAAATATAGAAAGTGTACATAATGGTGCATTGTACACTCCAGTAACAATTATAAGACTAATTTTACTTTTGTATTTACACAAAAGTTGTGTCAGAAAATGAATTTATATGCACATCTGATCTTCAAAAGTTCAGTTCAGTTAAGACTTTTTATATTGCTTAGGATTTATCTCATTTTTGAGTTTGTTTTTTTTTTTTTTTTTTAAATTGACCACTTACTTGTGAAGAGAATGCAATGCTTCTGTATGTTGTTTATTACAATGTAGTAGCAGTAGATTGCATCCTGTCTTTGCATAATCTCCAAAAATCTTCAATACACACATATTGCCCACTTAAATAAGAGAAAAATGTGCTTGGTTCAGCTGGGATAGGCTCCGGCCACCCACGATCCTCTACAGGTTCGCGGCTGAAGCTAATGAATGAATAGATGGAAATTTACATTAAATCCAGACAAGAAAGTTGACTTTAAAAAGGGGGGAAAAAACAGATCTGAACATTTAAAATTATTATTCTGCTGTCCACACTAAATTCTTCGTTGGTATGTCACCTTTCACCTTTCTGTCAGATTTTTTTATTTTTAGAAATGCACATGTCGGCATCACTGCAGTCATAACCTTATAAGATGATTTTACTCTGTGTCCTGTGGCTACAGATGTACACAGACTTTGGCTCTGCTTAACATAATGAAAAAAACACGCTACTTTCAGAGTAATCTGCAGCTTTGTCATACAGGTCTTTCCTGTGGTTCAGCTGTCACACAGACTGTGTTTTCACAGGAAAGAGCAGATGTGAACCAAAGGGGCTCACCGACTGTGATGGACTGTGAAATATACAATTTTTGAGAATGGAAGGGAAAAAGTGGGAGAGAGCTGAAAAAGCTGCGTGTGTTTGGATATCTTTGGTAAAAGGCCATGTGGGCTTTTAACAGGCAGAGAGGCGACCTCAGACGGCCTTCTCCGTGCATTCACGTACACCCATTAGGGGCCTTTATGGGCTCGACACCCTTGTTTGGATTCTTTCCCAAGCTCTTACATAAAAAACCAGGAAGGAAACATTGACGTGTGAGAGCAGAAGGACCATGAGGAAACAGAGGACACATGTTAGTGACTTGGGATCAAAACCTGGATCATCATATTTGGAAGAACAACTGCAACTCAGCCAAAGTGAAACTTGTACTTTGCTGGCACAGTTCCTCCACTGCGAACACTCAAATGAATTACTGAAGCTTTTAGCGAGATCAAACTGCTGACAAATTAATCAGGCTTAATTGATGCACTGTATGATTTTGTAAAATGACAAGAATGGGTAAAATAAATCTAACACACACACTTAGATTTCATATTTTACGCATCTTAACTATTGTTTCTTTCTCAGGAAATGTTGTGTTTGGGGAGCCAATCACGGCCAGCCTGGGAACTGATGGGACACATTACTGGAGCAAGAACTGGGCCAAGGCAGCTTCTTTTGTAACATCACCTCCTCTTAGCCCGGATCCCACCACTCCAGACTATCTGAACACGCTGCTGTCCAGGTACAAACCACAACACCTCCCTCTGGTTAGGCTGAGCAACCTTTGGTGCTTTCCTGAAACATGATGCAGCATAACTGAACTTTGCAGAAAAAACTAAGTACATTTCCTCAAGTACTGTACTTCCCATTAGTTTCTTTATGTTGTGCTACTTTCTCCTACTGCTCTACATTTATTCGACAGCTTTTAAGGATAAAGATTTAAGACAATAGATACTATAGGAAACTTTTACAATACAACACCCACGTATTAAACCAGGGATTTCTGTCCTTTGTGTCTTTTCGGGGTTCGTCTGTTTTCTTTGAGGTTGTTTTGTATGACTTTGAGGTTGTGTTGCATGTCTTTGAGGTTGTTTTGTGTGTCTTTGAAGCTATTTTGCTATGGAACACAAACTTAACACTGCATGCAGTGGCCACTTGTCTCGTACCAAACAACCCACTCCTTTGTGATAAACAGCATTTAAACATTCATTTTGCTTGTGCATTAACTACATTTCTGCTGGTTTTACTGACACACATGAATAAAATCTATTCAAATATATGCTCCCACACATAGAAATCCCAAATGAAGGTTCTGGTGTAGATGTAGCTGATAGTAAATGTATTGTTTTCACTTTGTCTCTATGTCCTCCTATGCCCTGATTGCTTGCATGAAAGTGTGCAATGATTACTTCTGACTGAAAAATGAGAAATCCTAACCTGCTGTATTGAGTAGATTCATTCATGGAACTAAAGTACTGAGAGCCTGAGTAGCTTATTGTAAATCAACAGTTGTTACACAACTAGTGGACTTCATCTGGTAAGTGAGTTACAGCATCACATGGAAACAGGAAGCATTTGTAATGTTTTCTACTGGAAGAACAAACTCTGGCACGCGGCACAGTTTGGTTACTCTCAGCCCTTCTTCTGTTTGGTTTTTTCTTCTCCTGCTAAAGTCAACAAACATATTTCCTTTGTTTTTGCAGACCTTTTCTTCTGTACACAGACATTTTATGTGCTGATATATTCCATCTTCTTTTCTTCTCCCAGTGGAGACCTGAGTGTGACTGGCAGTGCTCACTGTACCTTCAGCGTGGCACAGAAGGCCATTGGCAAGGATGACTTCACTCAGATCCCCGAAGGTGTCAACGGGGTGGAGGAGAGGATGGCCCTCATCTGGGATAAAGCTGTGGTGAGCACTAGTTAGCTTATTTCTCTCTCCAATTTTAGACTTTGCAAAATGGAGAAAGGCAAATGAGTAATACGAGAGCTGAATTAAGAGTTATTCTTAACGTTTGTTTTCATCTAGATTTGCTTGCTCTCTGCCTTTTTTCCCAAGGAAAATAGTTTTTTATGGCTTGGCTTTGTGTTAAATCAGTCATCTTCAGTGCTTGTTCTGTACTGCTCTGTCTGAGCTGGTTTTTTTTTTAAAAATCCATATCTCTCTGTCATGCTTGTAGTCTTATTAACTTAAGTTTTTTTGGCTTTCCCTTTTCTTTTTTTCCCCCTACATCTCTGTCCTATATTCTCAGCAAGTGTTGTTGTTCTTCAGCTTTATTTTTGGGTCTTTGTACTGTCATATTATCTGCCTTGCTTCATTCCCTTATTTTATATCTCTACATCTGTCTTTTCCTTCAGACAGCACCCTACCCTCCTTTCTCCATTAGCCTTTCTCGTTATCACAGCATCAGTATGAGGCGGATATGCGGTATTGCTGTAGAGTGGAGTGTTGGCTATAAAAAGTAGCTGGGCTTTGAAAAGTAAAACTCAATGCACTTCCTTAGGACAGTTACTTAGAGTCCAAGCTCACACCAAACTTAATCTAACTGCCGGTAAGTTTTTTTTAAAAATCTGGACAGGGCTAGACTAGCTGTTTGCTATTTTAACATACAAACATCTCCTAAAATGATGAACTGTTCCTTGAATATCTTCATCACAGTTTCCGGTGTCAGATCACTTACAACTCACCATTTTGTTAGTGGGATTATAAAAACGACATACCTAAATGTAAGGAAAATGCGTCATTGGATGCTGTTTTTGGATTTCAGCGAACACTATGGATCTGTCCTGCAAACAAACAAAAGTTCTATTCACATATACTGTGTCCTCAAGGCCTTCCTTCCTGCCTTTTCAGATGCTGCATTTCTTGCCACCATCAGTGGAGTAGGGGAATAGTGTGCTTCCATTGGTAGGACTGAGTATTGTGTCACCAACGTGCACACCCATGTGTGTACTCAAGATGCACAAAACAGGGACCGACTCAAAATAAACTGCACCATGTTACCATTAGAGGTCAAAAACTCCACCTTTATATGTTAAAAGAAAACATTGATCTGAATATAATCCAGCTAGAGCTGCATATCTAGAAGCAAAAGGATCAGGAGTTCAATGTGAGAACAGCATTGTGATATTTTCTGTAATCAGTCACCCATTTTAGAGAAATAGTTACTAAATACTCACCGATATTTTGCTTTTTTGGCTCTCAGACTACAGGGAAGATGGACGAGAACATGTTTGTGGCCGTCACCAGCACTAATGCAGCTAAGATCCTGAACCTGTACCCTCGTAAGGGTCGGATCGCCGTGGGCTCTGATGCCGATCTGGTCATCTGGGACACAGACTCTATTCGCACCATCACTGCCAAGACACACAACTCGGTATGTACGCAGGCCAACGTTTGTATTTGTATTTGCTTCAAATTTCAGCTAAATTCAGTTTTCAGCTTCTGGCTTTTCATTTCACAATTCTTCTCTACACCTACTCTCATCTGACTTTACTTGTGAAGCTGGACAAATGCATTTTTCACAACTTTTCAACATGTAAAACTGTACAAACTTTTTTGTTTCACAACTTCTCAGCCATGCTTAACTTGGTCCTTTATTGAATGTAACAGCTGGATTATAAAACATTATCTGGTATGGGTTTTATTTCAAAGCCAAAGAAGATGAAAAGAAAAAGATCAAGAAATGTTATGTGAAGGGGTGTGATTTTTGAAGTTGAATATGCGATATGAGATAAGTGTCTGCATCTGTGTATGTGTGTGTGCGAGAGACAAAGAGAAATATGGAGATAGAGAGGGTTAGAGGGAGAGAGAGAGAGAGAGAGAAAGCACATATTTGAGCAGCTTCCAGAGAGCTCTGAGTTCCTCTGAACGGAAATGAAGTCTCAGTGGATGTTCACTGCTAATTCGACTCACACTGCACTCACCACATGACCGGCTCTCAATGTAAAGCTGAGCTTCACTTAATCCAAAAACCTTCTGCAATGACCAACTAATGATTTAGAAAAGTATGGATTATTCAGATACATGGGTTTATCTAAATAGGGGGGGAAAAAAAGAAACATTCTGTCAGTGACGCAAACATTTTCCAAAATGTCCTGTACAGTAAATCTATGTGCCTTTAATCACGAGGTATTTCCTTCCTCTGTATCACTTTCACTTGTACAGATCATCCAAAATATACTCATGATTGGAAAAGTGGGTTTGAAGAATGTCATTCATTGCTCAGGATTCTGTTACAGTAAATACTAATATTTCACATAGTTTAAAAAACCCCAGAGATTTGGAACATCTGTACACACTGCTTGTTGGAAAAAGGAAAAAAAAAAACTCTCATAAGTAGAAAATGGCTTTGGTCATAATACATTTAATTTCATGGGAAATGTCTCACTCAACATGCAGTCTCTGTCTGAACCAGTGCAGCGTGATCTCCATTTACTTCATCGTCTCCTCTAACAGTGTACTTTCCTTTTTTCTTGCTTTTTTATTATTTTGTACTTTTACCATTTTCGTGCAGTGCGGTTGGAAGGGGCTTAAGGAGCCAACAATGAATCACAGCTGGACGACCACCTAATTTTCATAGATAAACATTTGGAACAATCTGTTGGCCTGCCTGGAGCTTAACAACAAAAGTAACCGGCAGGGCCGTTGCCTGCTAGTGCTGCCTTACTTTTAGATAGTACATTGCGGGAAAATCAAATATTCCTTCTGTAATGTCACTTTTTTTTCAAGTCACAAAGTCAAAACCACTAACACTGACTAAAATGAATAACTTTGATTGTCTCATTACAATATCATGTTATAAACTTTGGACCCTGGCAGTCATGTGGAGGATATTTTGACACGTCCCACCTATCTAAACACTGTTTCATACCAAGCACACCTCCTCATGGCAGTGGCCTCCAGTGGATATGACAAAGAACCATTGACACACCTTAACCTAAAGGTTTCGCTGCCAAAATCCTGAATGGCCTCAGACGTCCTGCTGCAACCTTTCTGAGCTATTTTAGCGACATGAGGGGGACCTGCATGATATTAAAGGTGGTTTTTAATGGTGCTTGTCAGTGGTACTGTTCCTCAAAGTGCCTTTTTTTGAACTTCAAGTCTGGACCGTTAGTTGCAACCCAACAGCATCGTGTGAACCTTTCTGCAGAAATGCTTTATCAAACGTTTTTCTTCTAAAATATGTATTAAACTGTCAGTGCGTCGCAATTCAGTAATTTCCTTAAATTACATTTAATGAAATTCTGAAATGGAGCAATCTTTGTCTATCACCATGTGTTCAGAGTTAAATATTGAAAATGAAATTACACTCAAACCACGTGAAATTGTATCCCACTGCTGCAGTTCTGTGTCCTCATTCTTAAGGTCTAAAACAGCAGCCTCACAAACTAATTCCCCTCCACACTTTCTTGCCTACTGCGCTACAGTAGACCTGCTGCCTGTGAGTAATGAGGTTTCTGCCATTACTAAGACATTAAAGGATCCCTTACAAACCACTCAGCAGCAGAGGAAGGAAATTGAAGCTTTACCTGCCTTGGACAAATCCTGCTTTTACAGAAATGCATGGGTGTGGGAAGAAAGCATTTGTATGTTGGTACTAAGAAAGCTGACTTCAGGAATGATGAAGTGAAACTTGTAGGTTTGCTTAATGGTAGTCGGTTGAGAAAGAAAATTGCACTGTCTCCAGATGTAGGACTGGAGTAAGACAGGCAGAAGTAGACTAATAATATGCCTTCTCTAAATGTAGAGTACATCCACTGAGGATCCACGGGTTCTTACATAATGATGTCACCCTTTCATTTCCTGCTGGTTGTCCTTCCAGATAAAATAACAGAGGAGAGCAGAGGACAAGAGCGCAGCAGCTTCCAGTTCCAATAAATCTACCTTAATGGATATGCTGTTGCCTGACCAAACAGGACCGACCCTGTTTACCAGCATATTATCCTGAGGAATGCTTTCCTCCAGACTTTGCCGTGTCTTAGTTTGTTATCAGTAAACACACATCTGTTCTGGACCGCTTGTTGCTGTTGTCAGAGTGAAAATACATAGATGCACATAAGGATATTTGGATACATAGACAAGAACAGGGCAGCAGCAACACAAGACACACACACACATAGACGCACTCGGCTTAGTCATGACATCATGTTTGGCACGCAGTGGGTCTTAGTTATGTCCTGTTCTGGCCTGAATTTGGACGGCAGCAGAAAATGGGGCCGTGTGCAGAGGAAATAAGCAACAATGGAATGAGGGGAGGGGACCATCGCGGATCACAAACATGTCCAGAAGAAAAGTTGGCACAAGGGCAATTGGAGGAGGATGAATAGTATACACAGTTAAAAGAAAAAGCAGGGGATTACATAAATCAAGCAAGAATGGGCAAGGGAAAGAAAAGAAACAGAAAAGAGCAAAAGAGTGAGAGAATGAGATATAGAGCCAGGGGACAGGATAGATAGTGAGAAGCACCACGAAGGCATCAGGGGCCAGCTGGATGATGGCAGCTGTTTGTGCATGCCAGAAAGACAAGTGTAAGAAACAAGCTGATGAATGATAAAAGAAAAAAAAAAATGGGTGAAGGAGAGTGCGAGATTAGGAGAGATTAGAGGAGAAACACGGTTTTTGCGTTCGGTTTTTGTCTCCTCATTTCATCCTCCCACAGCTACCTCAGTTTCTCATCTGCTCCTCAACCTTATTTTATCAGTGCTTAAAGGGAAGGTTTAGGAAGTTTTAAAAATAAGAATCCAGGTTGGAGCATTTCATTAGTGGAAGTGTTTGTTTAAAATTTTGCTCCAGTTGTTCACCACTTTTAAAGCCCTGTTTATCCTTTTTAAATAAAGTAGTAACATTTTGTTCCTTATTGTGTTGTTTTCAAACACTCTGTCTTTTTGATAGGTCTCGTCATACAAGTATTAGCAGTTCCATAACATGTGTTGATGTAGTTTTCACATAATCATTTGATTTTCCATGTTTAAATTGTAAACACATTTTTATACATGTACGTTTTTACATTCTGTGTATTTGGGGCACTTTATCACCAGTAGCAGTGATTACTACTGCTTGTTTAACATAGTTAAACCCCAGAATGTATTATATATTGTTTATACATTTTGTAGTTTTTCCTACCTGTTCCTCACAAATATGCCTTATAATAGTTTTTTTTTGTTTTTTGTTTGCTTTAGGCTGCTGAATACAATGTCTTCGAAGGCATGGAGCTGCGTGGAGCACCACTAGTGGTGATCTGCCAGGGTAAGATTGTCCTGGAAGATGGGAACCTTCATGCCACCTCCGGAGTGGGACGCTTCATCCCCTGCTCTTCCTTCCCTGACTTTGCGTATAAGCGCGTTAAAGCCAGGAAGCAGGTAAATAACGCTTCTTTCTTGTGTCCATTCTGCTGTTTACAGTTTGGCAGCTATCATTTTGGTTCTGGCAGTTGTCACATCTTTTTCAAGCATGTAGTCATAAAACTTAATTGTGCAGTATGTGGCTTTTAGATGCTAAATTCGGCTTAACTGAGCATTTCAAATCGAAGACAATTCAAATAGGAAGGTTTTGTGCAGAAAGCCACTGTAATTCTCATCACAATGCTGAATTGCAAAACATCTGCAGTAAAAGCATTGCTGGAAGACATTAGAGTGACCTCATAGCTCTGAAGATGTTGCATAAATATAAGCAAACACGAAGGGAGAAGGACAGGCAAACTTTCCAGAGTGTACCACTTCTCTTGCTCAATGTCAGCTGATGTAGACTCCAGCCCCCCACGATCCTCCCCAGGATAAAGTTTGTATATATGATGGAGAGAGTATATTTAGTTCTTTATTTACATTTAAACACCAGGGAATCCTTTTAATGCAGTCAGAGAAGATCAGGCAAATATAGGAGAAGGTGGATTGTCGGAGTTAAGCTTTCTGGACTGCATGTAAAGTGATATGAGTTTGGAATGAAACAGAAGGATGTTGGAGGGAAATAAGGGTGGAAAGGATGGAGGCAATGAAGTGGGATGTGGGGGAGATACAGCGAGTCTGACATCACCCATTAAGGTTCAGCCACAGGGCACTGGCTGCGTTTATCAACTGTAAAGTCCGTACAGCGAGGGTGGTCGAGGCTTTGTTATCATGGTTTTAAAAAAAATTAATGCATAAGTTTGGATTTGGATAACTTTCAGACGCGCAACACATACAGTTAAAGTATTAAAGGTTCATAACCAGTCCCAAAATTACATTTTACTATATTCTTGTAAAACTCCTGAATCCAAAAGCTATTTGGGAATGTTGCTTTCATTGCGAGAAAGTAAGCTTAGTTACAAGGCTTATCATTTGTTCATATAAATCATATATTTATAATCATCAATATCTGAAGGTTTTACAAAGACTTTCCTAGTAATTTACTTGCTGGTTTCTTGACAACAACATGCTAACTACAAAACTCCAGGAAGGTAATCTTTATGCAAAGCTAACCAGCTACTGATGATTGCCTCATATTTAGCATGACATAATAGAAATGATGGAAGTAATAATGGAAGGATCTGTGAGAATATTTGAAGGGAAAGCACATTGCGTGACATGTGCTGTGACATTCATTTGAGAAAAATCATCCTTGAACTAGAATCCAAACTAACCAAAAGTAAAGATAAATTAGAGTAAATGTGCAGTTTTTTTTTCTCAAATATCTAAACCCAGAGTCCTATCATTAAGTGGCTTTACCGCATCATTTAAAAAAAGAATTGTAGCTCCTCTAAACTATTAACAGTTAATTCAATGTATAAGAGATGATCTCATTTAACCATCTGATTGATAACAGCTCATACTTAAACCGGACCCTGCCTCCTGCTCTCTTGCCATCTTTCTAACGGCCGCAGAAATCTCATTGCCCAACAATTTCTTTATTAGCAGCTGGCTGCTGATGAGAAAATGGAGCTGTAGAAACAGTGCGCTGTTTATCTTGGTAGCAGTCGCTGTTATGCTTTCTTCTCTCACAGATGTCTCTTTTTAACTCTTGACGGCGCTTCCAAGATTCCACTGAGTCACGCCACTGACAGACACACAGACAATGGCTTGTTCACCAGCAGCATAAAGTTTCAACTTGATTTGAAAGCATATAAATACTGCATTTTGTGCCTTTTTCTGCTCTGGAAGGGTTTGATTATGTGTATATATCTATGGTTGTGTGTGTGTGTGTGTGTGTGTGTGTGTGTGTGTGTGTGTGTGTGCGTAAATGTGGAACTGGTTCTTGGCAGGAAAAAGGGTCTCTGAAAAATGCATTTATAATTCAGATACAAACAGTTGCACAAACAACCATGTAATGCAAAACATATGAGAGCTTGGTTACATTTAGTCCTCTGTGATAAAATACCGTAATGTCTCGGTGTTATAAGTTGTCTTTTCTTAATCTGCCTCCTCTTATGCTTCTTTATTTCTCTCTTCATCACCTCCATCTCTGCTCTGTTTGTTTGTGCTGTAGCTGGCTGTCCTGAGGGCAGTGCCCAGGGGAATGTACGACGGCCCAGTGTCTGAATTTTCCATGTCCCGTGGTGGTACTCCCTCGGCCTCGGCGCGTACCTCTCCCACTAAACAGCCTGTCAGAAACCTGCACCAGTCTGGATTTAGTCTAGCAGGTAACCCTGCACCATGCGGTGAGCTCAGCTTTTTACTAGAACAACCATCCCTCCGTCATCCAGTCCTTCCTTTCTGTTGGTCTGCATTGTTTACACCATGCATACACACACATCGAAGGAGCATGCAGTGCGTCGGTTGATCCAAGTTCTTGTCCTCCTCTTTGTCTCAACTCAGCTACTAATTCATGCTGTACAGTCAGTTAACTGTTGTGGGTTTTAGCATGTGTTTGCTTTTTTTTGAAAATAAATGATGCATTCATAGCCGTTGGCCAAAAAAAAACCTCAGTTCCGTAGTAACCTAATAATCGCTCATTATCTTGGTTCATACTTGGTGATGTGCATAGTATGGCATGCATTCATCTGCAGTCTATCACACTTACTGTTAAAGAAGTTATTCAGTGTTTTTTTTTTTTGACAATTTGTTTATGCCTGTCATAAAGTTGAGTGCCTTCGCTCCTTTGAGCTTTAATCTAGACAGCATTAAGTTTAATTTATATACACAGTCAGTTAAAGTGACTTGTTTTCTTCTTCTATTTAGTGTGGTGTGACTTGAAGTTAACATTACCCCAAATTAAAACCAGCTGTACTTTTGACCCATACTCATCTATGATATAAACTACAGATGGGTGACAAATTAAAGGAAAACCAACATCAAGTGGTTTTGGGTGACCATGTGCCACCAGAGCAGCTTCAGTGTGACCTGACATTTATTGTCCAAGTCTCTGGAACGCTTCTGGAGGGATGAACACTGTTCTTTCAAAACGTATACCCTCATTTGTGGTTTTCATTATATCGACCATATCATCAGCGCTGTCATCCTTGAAGAGAACACTCCCATCAGGATAAAAATGTTCCACTGGAGGATAAAGGTGATCATACATACTTCCCTTTAAGGGGATACTCTGTTGTGCTCTGCGTAGCACAACAGAGTCACCAGGTCCTCTTGCTGTCAGGGTCAAAGTTTAAGGATTTTCCTTGAATTAGGTGACCCATGTATACATACACATAAAAGTTAGATGGAGAGTACCTTTGTGTAGTATGAATTACGTATGATAAACTAAGCAAATGGTGGTTTCTATTTAAAATTTAATGTGATCTAATACATGTACTGATGCACAAAGTCCACTTTTACAATGATATGTTTTGATTGACACGATCAGAGAAATATTAATTCAATAATGTTTATTATTGAATTTCGCAGTACTGTTGAATTTCATTGGATTATATGGAGAGGTGTTCCCAGTGTTGAGCTCATCTCAGAAGAATATTATGAACACACTGCAATATAATGTCGTCCAGTGCAACACCAACAACAAGTACAACCTCAGTAATAAAACTGTACTTGAATTAACACCTCTTGGAATGTTTTCACAAAAATAGACCATTACAAGCTTCGTAAAGGTTGAGTATGTGGCTGAATGGTTTTACTGGATTGGGTCAGATTATAGGCATTCCGAATGAAGTGGTCAGGGAGTGAATATGGAAAATGTGTTTTTACTCTGTCAGTAGGTTGATATTCCCAACTCAGTTAAATGATTCATTCTCTTTAGTGATTCATTTGTAAAAACAAATGTCATTTAAGTGGTAGCCTCTGATACAAGGCTTCACACCTCTCACATAAGCATACTTCCAAGGCCTCTTAAGGACACTGTGACCTCCTAGCTACTGCCTCCTTCATACATTAAGCCACAAAAGGAAATGAAGTTTTCCCCACAGTTACACTTTTTTTGAAGTCACGCCGGTTATGAGTTTTGGCTCGAGGCCTAAAACGGCCTCAGTCCAGGCATCTGGACGTGGTCTGTTAAGAAGGCCGATCAAATGTGAGAGATCACAACAGTTTTTGCGTTTGACATCTGTTCCATTATGCAGGGCTGCTGAGTGACAGTCTGATTGTGCCCATATGTCAGGTTAACAGTGGATTAGCTTAGATTCAGAGAACAAATGTGAGAAATAGTTTCTGTCAAGCTACCAAACAGTGACAGTTCATACACATGGTCAACTCACGGACCAGATAGTCAGTGTTTCCACTGTTTTACAGTCAAACAGAGCAACCATAGCTAATTCTGTCCTCCGTGACAGACTAAATGTGTCCATGTGTAACCTTAAAGCATTGAGAGCAGCCCTGTGTAACCCAGCCAGAACACAGCTGTATTCCCATAGTATTAACAGTCTTTGTAAATACATGCAGTATTTTTAATAGGTGATAACTCATTTTGAAAGAAAAGGCTTTGGCTGTAATGAGCAACCTGTCTTTACAAGCGTAGCTGATGTGTGATACCTCACAGATGAAAAAAAGAAAAAAAAAGAAAGTGACCTCCGCTGGAAAGAATTTCCAAATTTGAGTACATGAATTTAGAGGGGAGTAAAGGCTGCTCCTGGTTTCCCAGGCTTTGTAATAGCCCTGTGTTCAAGTATGTGTGTAGTCTCGTGTATGTGCATATGTGTGCATATTCTCAGAATGAGTCTGTCTCTTATCTGTTTTAGTTTTTCCACGGCTACCACCTGCTGAGTTGATTTACTTGTCTGGAAGGAGATGGGAAGGATTGTTTGCTTGTGTCATCGTCTGACATCATTGGACTTTCCATTTTTAGACGTAGTGATAATTTGTTGCAGCAGACACCGTGGCTCATCCTTTAGAAACACCATTCTTTAACTCTGGCATTCATGTTTCAGCAGTGCTCATACAGCACCAGGTCTGCTGAATTCTGCATTCCCTTGTTACCACAGTGACACATACCATATGTCAGAGATAATAACGTGTCTTGAAAAACCTCTAGTGCCTGGAAAGTAATAATGTTAGTGTATGACAATAATCTGTGTGCCATGATGGCATAAAAGCTGTTCTATGTGGCAGAAACAAATATCAGAGAAAAATTCCAGAGAAAAGCACAAGGAGTAAATCCATTCTTTGGTATGTACCGTATATAATCCTGGAGGTCCTCTATAGAATTTACTTAGTCTGTCACATTCTAATTTTCTATAGCAAACGGCCTTATTTTGACACAGCAAGCAACGAGAAAAAGACTCCATCTCCCCAAGTATAAACCTCCTATTAATAAAACGATTCATTTCTGCTTCAGCAGTCTCTCAAACTGTGATGTATGTATGAATATGCCAAGTGAAACTCATTTGATATGGTAACAAGGATTACATTTAACCGAATAATTGATTCAAACACATTTGGTTTATTTCATTTAGAGAACACCTTATCCTCTGCTCTATAATAAATATTTACTCTTTGTGATATTCTTCCCCAGTTTTGACTGACATTTGAGTCTTAAGAGGTTGTATAATTCAAAATAAACACCGGGTCACACATGGAGCGCTCTGCATTTCACGCTTAGCTAATTAACATGAATGTGTGGATCTCGATATATAATTAGAGGCTGTGTATGGAAATCCATCCCTTCTTCTATATAACTTATCTCTGTGTCCTCTGCTAACGCAAGTAATTTATGGAAATCCGATTCGTTTGAATTTTAGTTCATACTGTGCAGAAACCTCCATCTTTTTTCTTTAATTCTCAGTTTTTCCTGGTTTGTAGTTTGGACACTTTCCACCCAGCACATGTGCTCTTTGGGCACTTTCCACGCAACTCTCCCTTTATCTTTCTCCCTTTTTCCTCTCCATCCAGGTCCCCCCACCCCAGACGACATCCCCATCAGGCCTGCTGGCCGGCGTATCGTAGTGCCCCCTGGTGGCCGTTCCAACATCACATCGCTCAGTTAAACAGCAGGAACACGAAGGGGACGCATCCAGAAAACGACAACAGCCAGAGTGCAGGATTGAGGGAGGGATAGGGGGAGGGAAACGGGAGGGGAGGGAGGGAGGAGGAGATGCAGAGGACCACAATTAGTTAAAAGTTAAAAAGAAAAAAAGAAAAAAAAAAGCAAAACACTGAATCCTCATGCCTTACCTGTCACAATGCTACTATACTCAGATGAGAATAGCATCCCTTTTCCTGGGGAAAGTGGTTTGGAATTGCTACTAAAGGATAAAATTTCTACCAAAGTACATTACACTTGACCAGTCACAGCCTCGCTTGTTTCTCAGTACAGAATACAGAACACCTACAGGGAAAACACGCTCACTTGGTGCTTTGGCAATGAGAAAATACACTAGTACAACTTCATACCATCACAAGAAAGAAAAAAAAACAACTCAAAGGAAAATGGATACTGATTTTCTCAGATTGATGCTATGGTTCTTTCATCCTGTTTGGCTTTCAATGTCACCCCCCCTTTTTCAGTAGCCTGCTTTCTCCATAGACAGCGAAACATAACACTAGATCCCACATTAGCCATGTATTATCATGCAGTACCATTGGTTAGCTCTAGGTGGCATTGTATATATGGTAGATGTAATGTAGCTTTGTGAATGATGTTGTTGCAGCCTGTTTGGGTTTACTGGACCAAGTTAAATAAAAAGGGTATTTATCACATCTGAGAGCAGGAGTGCTGCTGGACGTGGAGCTGCATGGGCCGCATTAGCATGGGTGACGTGATCCGTGGTCCTTCTGCCCTTTTACTCTGAGGTGTCTGATAAATACCTTCCCCATGGTATATTGTACTGATTATTGATGTTTAAAAAAAAAAAAAGATAGACACATCTGCTTAAAGATTTCGTGAAGACAAAAGGAGAATTATTAGAAAGGATGTTACTATTCTTTATCCCCAAAAGTTTTATGTCGGTTTTTATTTCCTGCACTTCATCATTGCTGTATTAAAAAAAGAAGAAAAAAACATTGCGAGAAACTGTCCTTTTCATTCGCTTGTAGTTTACTGGCTGCTCCTATAATCCTGAAATCATCTTGAGAAGGAGAACGTCGGAGAAAAAAACACAAGAACTTGATTAAACAAACATCTCTTGTTGGCTCAACCATAACATGTAACGGAGAGATTTGCAACTAAGGGCCACTACAAAAAAAAAAGATGCAATGAAATTATTAAGTAACACAAACCTGCTTTCAGATAACAGCACTTCACCTCTGGCTTTACTTTTTCCATTCCTGACCAGCTTTTAGGACAAGCGGAAGACCATCATTCCCTTGTCATCCTAACATAGCCCTCTAACGCAATGCTCAACGCGTTCAACACCAGCCCGAGTGTAACTGAGCCCAGTTCAGTTTACCTAAAAACTCTGGATCGGATTGTGTTGGGGGGTGCACTAAAGCTCTTTTTCTATATCTCTGCTGTTTCCTGATAAGGCAGAGGATTGTGGTGCAGTAAGGGAAGCTTTTATTCTGTTGTTGCCCCATTGTGGGGGAGGGAGGGAAGGAGATGGTGTTTTTTTATTTGACAGACTGAGGCAGGCACACGTGGTGGTTTGTTGTATTTATGTTAGTTTGACAACCTTTGTTACTGTTTTTATGTTGTTTCTTTTTTTACTGTTGGCTCAAAACCCAGAAATGGCAGGTCAAAAATAAGGTGTGGTGTGGAAGTATGATTTGTTTCCTGAATAAACATGAGTTGCAACTTAGTGACTGACGGCTCATTTTTTAAAATATTATTTCACATCAAGACATAGGCACCAATCAGATGAAGTGACATAGAAAGTCTTTATTAATCAACACCCTTATTTGATTGAAAGTGTAAAAGCAGGTTAGTTTTTGATAATGTGACAATATGTGGTAACTGATGAAAAATGGCCTGTTTCATGGATTAATTTTGCACTTCAATTTACATCAACATTAATTTTGAAATTCATTTATTAATACGACTATGATTTGATGATTTATACAAAATGCCATTCATCATTTTGTAATCATAAAGCAGAAGTGATTAGAACCCCACAGCACTATACCTCTGAGTTAACATAGTTCTGGGTTATTATATGGTTATAGTTTCCACATTTCACTCTATACAGTGTATGAGCATCTAATTTCTCTAGCAATCGACAAGGCTTCGCCAATATAAATCATTCAAGCAGAGTGAAGAGGTTTAAATTAAATTAGCAACGTGATTAGATTTTACATATCAGATGTGGAACCATTGTGCTGGTCCAGTAAAAATTTTATTTGCAGAGATTTTTAAATGTCTAAACCCTGAAGACATATTCAGGAAGTTTTTTTTCATCTTTTTCCTTTTGTTAGCCATATTGACCTCTTATTTATCATGTGTCATTGTGCGTTAAACTGTTCAAAGTAAGTTCAAAATAGCTTCACTTTCAGCAGCTACAACCACAAGATGCTTCTTAGACACTGATGCTTCAGTAACCTCATGATGTTGTACACAGTAATAAATCAGTCAGAATGACCACACCAGTACTTTTACTATGAAATTAAACTTTTACTACATGTCACTGCTAATACCGACGCATCTTCATTTAATTAGTGTTTCTACCATGAAGCTAAATCAGTAAAGCTGATTGGCTAAGGTTCAGGGAGAATGTCAGGATAAGCCAATCAGAGGCGGAGCAGGGCGAGTCATGTGACCACACACAGCCAATGACAGAGTACATTCACCGCAAAGTCAGACGTCCTTCTCTCGCCGCTCTGTTTAATTCGAAATTAAACTGAATGAGGAAACTTTCCTCATTCATTTTCTCTGGATTTATATTCTGTCTCTTCATCCCTGTTCATTTATTTTTTCATTTTAGACCTACCTGGACCTCCAGCTGCTTCACTTTTGTTATCCAGTTATTTTGTTGTTTTACCCTCAGTGCTAAAGGAACAAGCTCCTATTTACAATTCAAAACGCTTTTAAAAACACACCTTGTACAGAAAAACATTTGAGTAACATTTGATCTTTTTTCTTCTCTTACCGTCTTTACCAATGTTTTATTGTCATCTTTTAATACTTTATTGCTACATTCAATTATTATTTCATGTCTGAATGTGACATAAAAGGAGGGTCAAGCAAACACAAAGCAGTGTTTTTCTTTTTTAATATTTAATCGGAATCAAGGAGTATTTCATCAACAGGTGGTGCTGGTGACGATCCATCACAAAGCGGGTGATCCTGCAGTTGGTCTTGCGTCTCCTCGTGCAGCATCACATAGTGATGGGTGTCGTGGTGGTGCTTGAAGAACCCCAAAAGTCAGATTCTCTTTAAAAAATAAAGGTTGACTTTAACATGCTGTCACTTCTTGGGGATCATCAAGTGTCGTCTGTGTGTGCAGTCACTTCCCACCTGACCTCCTCAGAATCAGCTGATTTATTTGTACAATAACTTCAGTATATCATTTTAAGACATGCAAAAGTTTAACTTCAAACTGTGAACATTATCTGAGTTACAGACCCTCACAGTACACCAGGGCGTGTCACTTTTTAATGTGAAAACAGCAGTTTTACTATCAAAACTACAATAAATCTCATGATTTTAGTGTTTAAAGTTCACTGCAGAAAAAAAACTCTGCAAGATGTGAGAGTTAGTCTTTAGATTGTGACACATTGAGTGGATGCAAAATTGTTTGCAGTTTTAAACAGAGCTCAAATGTGATTTTCAATCCTGAAAAATTCACGTGTCTAGCTCTGGTAATCATGAATCTCTGAAGGTTCAAAAGAATGATACAAAATAAAAAGTGCAAAACAAAAAAAAAAAAACAGTAGAAGGCCTGTAACTCAAAATATTTGTAGTATGAAGTTAAATTATTAATTAAAGTTATTGTATATAGAAAAAAATCAGCTGATTCTGAGGGGGTCAGGAGGGACAAACTGGTCGATGCTTCATGAACTGACTCTGTAGCATTAACTTTTGAGTTAATTTCAGATCTTTACATAAAGTCATGTGAAGCCTCTGTGTACTGGCGGGAACACCTAATTAATGCTGCTACATCTTGATTACTCATTTGCATTCTTTATAGCACTCATTCATTTCTTGCTTCTTCTGTAGAGCCCTCACGTAACTAAAGCTTGGAGAGACAGACGGATTGTAGCTGTGCGTTGGTTTGTTAAGCAACACTTAGCAGTGCTTTATCTGGTGACAAACACACAGAGCTGACACCAGGCAAAGGACGACCGAGCCTTTAAAAGTTCTCTTACCTTGATGAGATGAACAGTGCAGTCAGTAACACAGGAGAAACCCTCTTCATGACAGGCCAGGGGTTTCATTTTGTCATTAGAAAATTTACTCTGTGGATTACGTGCCTCAAACACACAATGTAATATACACTGAATATTAATGTAACGTAATACTGATGAATAACTGAGCTGCTGACAGGACAAAGAAACTTACTCTCATTTATAAGTTACATTGGGTTTTATTGTTTAATCACAGCAACTATAGCGTATCACTAGTTGCTATGAGGTGCAGAAATGCTGGATTTGTCAAGGGACTATTTTTTAGTGGACTAAACGGATGATAACCAAATGATGACCACAGCCATGAAACTCCCCAGTTTGGAGGTTATCTCCCAGTCGTACACCTTGTGACTGGGAAAATGTCTTGTGATCATGAACAGGACCGCCACTGACAAGTAGCTAAAAGGAAACACACAGAGTCGAAAGATGGATCAGTGTCACTCAGAAAAACAAACACATTCTGAAACCTGATAATTATCTGAAACCCTTACAATGACACAAGCAACTTAGGATAGACGAGAAGAAGATGCTGCTGTGCATTTACCATACATTAAACTTGATTTCTACATGTTTATATTCAGGATACAGCATTCCACTTTACCAGGTCAGGATCCAGGTCACCATCTTCCTCGTGATGTTGTTGATGACAACAGTCCAATCGAGGGGGATTTTCCCCTTGTTCCCCATGTTACGCAGCGCCACGTCGACTGCAACGGAGCAGACGACCAGGCCGAGTGTGTTGGTTCCTGCCACGTAGACTCTCATCATGGTCGGCTCAGTGGCGTTCTGCAGTGAGATGAAGAGATAAATATGACGGCACCTTCGTGTGCTATCACTTATTACTGAAAATGTAAAGAAAGAATCTTCAGGGAGATAAGGGACAGACAGATTTACCAGCTGGCATTTGACTTGGACACGGGCCTTCCATCCGCCATGATTATTTTGTATTAGTAAAACAAAAATGCTCCATTACATTACATTACATCACAATAGATGGGGGTATGAAGCACATGAAAGAAAAACCTACCTGTTGGAAGCAAGCCTGGATGAGGTTTTTTGGCACCATGTTTCTGTGAAGAATAAAGTCAGGTGAATAAATAAAAAAAATCTTCTCTTCTCTTCTCTTCTCTTCTCTTCTCTTCTCTTCTCTTCTCTTCTCTTCTAAAACTCCCTTTTTGTGTTTTCACAAAGTGGGTCTCACAAATTTAAAGTAGGTTACAGACAAAATGTAGGTTTTACCTGAAATGTCTAACTTGCTTTTCCAGCATTAAAAGGTGCCTAGTGAGATAAGTTAAGTTACTCCTAACTTTACCTTTAACTTCACAATGGGAAACTAAATTTAGCAATGTTAGGTTGGATGAGAACAGGGGAGAGGAGTCATGACTGACTGTACTTTCTGTCTGCTGTGTTTTCAGGTTAAATCAGAGACTAAATGGCCTCTAGCTCAGGGGAGCAGTCTGTCATGACTTCTCGAGAACTGCTGGAGAGAGAAAACAACACATCAGTGTCCAGCCTGTAGGGAAAGATGTTAGCTGCCTGTCCAGTCTGGTGTTACAGAAGCCGGGCCAGTCATTCTTATAGGAAAAGATCAGAGCGCTGAGAAACTGAAGCTCTTCTGTCTGGATCATCAGAGATTCAGAGCTACACACCAACCGCAGATTCTGTTCGTCTGCTGCTTCGTGACTCAAAGCTCTGATTATTAGAGCTTTAGTTGTTACTCTTCGTCTTTGTTTTAAGTTAAACAATCTGCTTTTTCTTTTTACTGTCGATCTATTCGTATGTATATCATTTTACTCAGTTTTAAACTACTTTAAATACTTTAATTTTCAAACATTATTGGTGATTCATGTTTTCTTTCCCTTTTTTATTTATAAGTAATGTTCTGCTTGATGCAGTGAAGCTGAAATGATTCTGTCTGTAAAGCGTTTTCATTCAGTGAGTCCATTTGTTAAAGGTGGACTTCTCTTTTCGTGTTCAGATTTTATGCAACAACGATTTAAGAGCTGAATCTGTCTCTAAATGATAGCTGTGTGCTGATGATCATGTAACCTGATTTCTGTCATGTGCTTTTGGAAAACTGTGTTACAGATGATGAAGATTAGAGAAGAGGAAATGCATTTCAATTATCTGTCCTCATTTCTTATTTCTGACTGAAGCTACTTCCACATCTTATCAGCCTCCTGTCCAGATGTTTTAAATTTTACATCATCAGAGCCTAATGGGGTCGATGGAAAAACTGTATTTGTCTAGCACATAACTGATAAAGACAGTTTGTTCTCACTGCTGTTTCTGAAGACAGGAAAATATGAATCAGCATGACACAGAAATCCTTAAAGCGGTTCAAACATATCCTTTAATATAGGTTGGAAAATATTTCTTAAAAAGTCACTAAACTTATTTATTTATGATCTGATCCAGCCCCACATAGAAACAAGTCGTGTTGATCAGCCAGAAAATG